TGCAAAATGTAAAACTTTGAGATATTGAATAAATACGTTCTCCTGTATATTTTTAAATGGAGTAGATTTTATAAATGATAAATTATAATTACAGCCACTTAGCAATCCCTTTATACAACTATTTTATAATTTGGTTAGTATACTAGTCGTAATATTATAGATGATATGTAAAAGACTCCAATATTTGCCCTTATCAGATATTGCTCTGACAACGAGAATATCTTTAAATAATCCTAACGCTATTTTATAATCGTTTCAATCAGCATAATGTGCAACTTCAACAGAATTCAAGTTGTACTGTGTGCTGTTATGAACATAGTTGAACAAACTTCAGGCCGTTTCAAGTGTTAACTTTACACAAATCGCCTGCAATGTAGTCATATCGGAGGTCATATTGAAGAAACATTTACACAAATGCGACACAAGCGCTAGCATCGAAGCATGCTATTAGTTTTAATTGCGCTAATTTAATCGAACATTGCCGTTGGGAGACTGAGAATTAGCATAAGTTTGTAGCTCAGTGGCATTATTACATCCCATTATCATGCTTTCAAGGAAGTCCAGTAACCAAGAATATATTAGTGTTTCTTGGCAGGAATAGACTGAGACAGCAATTAGATACTAGGTCATTGGTGGTAGGACCTCTTCTGAATCCGCAAGGGTAGGTACCACCGCCCTGCCTAATTCTGCCGTGAAGCAGTGATGCGTTTCGGTTTGAAGGGTGGGGCAGCCGCTGTAATCATACTGAGACCTTAGAACTTATATCTCAAGGTGGGTGGCGCATTTACGTTGTAGATGTCCATAGGCTCCAGTAACCACTTAACACCAGATGGGCTGTGAGCTCGTCCACCCATCTAAGCAATAAAAAAAAAGAAAAAAAGGTTAGATGATTAGTAGCAAATTTATTCAAGGCGATTGTAACTCTTCTGCGTGATTCCCCATAATTTTCCCTCCCAATCGAATTGAAGTCTGTTGTGAATTATACTTGCAATATATCGAAATAGCATTGCGAGTCGATAGATCACGAGTCCGAGATGCTCATACAATCGAATCTACCTCACGATGGCCGGCGGGCGAGTTAGTCTATTCGGAAATATCGAAAAACGTTTCGATTGTCGAGTCAGAGAGCGCGATTATTGTGAATCGAATCTTGATTTGCACCGATTGCGATTCCTTAGATTGTTTAGTCGTTCCTCTCGGACTTGCTTATGACTAGCTATCTGGTTGTTGGCTGGGTTTGCATAGCCGTTTTTTTTAGATTAAAAAGCCGATTGACCATTCTTCTTTTCAGATTTTCTAACTATAAATCTTTTACTTCAAATATTTTTCTTATCAGCTAGAGCAATTCTTAATGTTATAATCATCATTCTCCTGCCCTTCTCCCAGTCACCTGGGGTCAGCGGAACATGTTTTCGCCTCTTTATATATATTCCTCTATCATATTCCATTTCTTCGCTCATTCTCCTCTTACACATCCCCTTGCCTTGCACGCAATCCATCCATTTTTTCTTAGTCTACCTCTTCCTCTAAACCCTTAAAAATGAAACGCAAATATTATATAATCGTCTCTTCAAATAGATAAAATTTTCCGTTCTAGTACTGGTTACTAGGTTCTAGGTTCTACTAGTTATTAGTACAGATATTTTGGATACCCATAACACAGGAATAATTCCTAGCTTTTCGGCATTAAATGAGAAACATTTGTCAAAACACAAATTTTTTACCACGCTCACTCAGTGTTTAAACACGTTACATGAATTTAATATTTCAAAGTAGCATATTTTTTCTCTTTTCATATCGAGATTTATTAAAATTAATAACATAGCTAACAGGTGGTAAAGCAAATTATATCACTAAGCATATCACGCTCTAAAATTTACTTTAACTTTAAATACTAGTTTATTGCATGTATTGTTTAAACTTAATAAAAAAAAACGAACGCACGGGTTGTACAATTTCAAAACAACGCGGAACGTGTCTGCCAGTTATCTTTGCGTTATAAAACGGCTTCACGAAATATTATGTAGTCACTGCAATCAATTAGCCGAAGAATTAACTTTTGTTCAGGTTAGGTATACTTGATTTTTATAATTTTAGGAATTTACACCCTGCTGTATATTGAAACTAGCTGACTCATTGTACATCGTACCGCCTAACAAATGTTGACGCCTTACTGGTGGCATTTTTAACAATAAGCACGACTCAACTTCTAAACTCACATCCAAACCCACAAAATACGATTTAATCTTTAAACTATTATCAAAACAACGTCCGTTAACAGCATCCAATAGCGTTTCTGTATCTAAAACAAATGAAACCAATCAAACAATTATATTTTTCTGTTACTTGTTTTTTTTAATAGGTTTGAATGTTGATACGTCCTTGTCGCCAAAATCTTAATAAAAAAAAAGTGTGCAATTCACACGTGGTAGAAGTGAAACCTTCCAAAACTAAAATACAATTATCCTAAACGTCTTAAATATATGTAAAATTTTGTCATTAGTAAATAATTGTAAGGTAGCGCCCTCTGTGAATTGATATTTTAATTTCGCGTATAATCCTAAATTAACAAGAGCTTTCATACACACGTTAGTATTAAAAAATCTCACAGACGGCGCTGTATTAAATAGTATGTATATTTCTGTCTCATTCTTTACTGGCTTCATCCTACACATTTTTGTATTTGTGTCTCTTACCTGTCGTTTTTTCCGTTGCATCCGGTTTGAAATCCCAAAGATTCTAAAGAAGTTTTCACTTCAAAAACCTTTACTTAATTGATCGATTTTTTTTTGCCATGGCAATAATGAAGACAAATAAAAGAGTTATTCAATTTGTTGCCAGCGTTCTGAAGTTATCCGCGTACATACATTATGTAGATTCATTTTTATAAAATGAGTTAAATATAATGAGTTTTTATTTAAGTTGTTTATGATACGGGCTGTAACCTCAAATTGATATTACAAATAACTTCAGAAGCCACGGAATCTCGCGTATTGGTACTTTCTTCGTAAGTTCAATAACTTTCACGAGGATTTTTTAATAAGCGATAACAATGCTACGAAACAGTTATTGTAAAATGTCAACTTCAGATTCTCAACTCAACTCATCTCAACTTCAGATCAGAATAGATAACAATATTATTCATCAACGTCTTCATGTATGCTTTGTTGGAGCTCTCTAACCTAAAATGTCAAGTGGCTATCAATCTTTCACTCCGTGCCTCGCAGGATAAAGTCGGGACTTCGGGTGCGGGATTGGCGCGTCTTTCAATAATTTTGGGCGTGTGTGTAAAATTACGGAATGCTTCTTAATTTATTATTACACAAATATTTATCTCGATTTAAATTTGCAACGTGAAGTTTGTTGGACGTATGAAGTTTTATAATAATATACTCGTTTTCATGAACTTTGCGGCATCGCTTTATAGTAATGGCTTGTAGCATACGCTACGGTAGGTCTACGGGATAAAGCTACGTGAGCTACGTACGAAAGTCTAACTATAATTGTTGTCTAAGACTCTTGAAGCGTCCTTGGTCTAACGTGTAAGAAGCCGTATGCACTCGTAACGAATGACGACACTACTTCTGCGATGAAGTTAATGTAAAGTAAGAGTAAATGGCATGTTCAGAAGAACGCCATAAAATATATGTATATCTATCAATATATATGTGCATATCTATTAATCGGGTGTTTGTTTATGGACTAATAAGTAGCACGAGCAACTCTTTATACTGTAAAATTGCTACGTGATTAATTATTATTGGATTACATTTGTTACGCGGGCAAAACCTCATGGTGCATTTGATGGTGTAAAAATGAAGCTCGCACAATATTTCATGTATTGTAATTACTAGTAGTTCAACATATTGTGCGCCCGAGTAAATACCGCCGACCCTAAGATCGAAGTCTCCTTCCGGCTTAGGTAGAAATGTGGAGGATGGTGGCATTCACGCAGTGTTGTCTACAGGTTCCAGTAATTACTTAACAGAAGGTGGACCTTGAGATTGACTGTAAACAACAGTGTGTTTAGTTCGAGTTTTTAACGTTCTCGATAGCGTAAAAGTTAACTTAAATTTGTATGCAGTTGGAACAGCGCCCCTAGCGGCAAAAGTAGGCAAACGTCCCAATTTCAACATAGTTGAGTTAACTTTTACGCTATCGAGAACGTTAACAAACTCGAAGTAAGCGCAGAAAAAAAATTGCAAAACAAAATGATGTGCCGTTTTTATTTATTATCACTTTTTATTTTAAAGCACGTATAAATAAATAATCTGTTCTTCCGCATATCTCTGTCACAGGTGGTAGGATAAATTCTGAACGCGGCTTAACCTGACATTAAGTCGAATGGAACGAAGGGATAAAGTAAATCCAGGATCGCGTATTTTTTAATTGAAATTTTTACTGTACCCGAGTCTGATTTCGCGGTTCTTTCCTGTTTACAAAAGCGTGCACGTTTGTTTATTAGTTGGGCGTTTTTTTTTTTGTGCCGACAGAGTTAATTAGGAGAGCATAGTCAAGTGATTTTAATGTCTGCTGCAACAAGGCCGCAATACCGCGCCGCGGATGCGGACGGCTTATTTTACCGTATCGTTATAAGCGGCAGGCAACGTCTGCAAAGTGCTGTGCAAACGTTATAAATTATTTAACATCATTACTACACTTTGTAAACTTAAGCGTGAAACGTAATGATTCGTTTATCCAGCATTTTTATTTATAAAAGCTCTAATTATTTTATCACAACTCAGGAAGCACTAGGTACGAAATCGCTTTGGCAGAGAGGGATGGATTTTTTTCGGTGTGCATTGGAAAGCTATCCGCTCAACCTGGAGTTAGGTCATGACGTGACTACAAGCACGTATTTTGAGACATGAGATCGAAGTTCCAATTATACCAATCATGGCAATATCTGTGGAAACACACTAAGCTGTGGATGTGCAACGTGTTTTCCATTTTGCATTTTATTTTCTGTGTACGAAGTTTAAAATTTGCTTAACGTGCAGGTGATTTGCCGCGACCACGCAGCAAAGGGGAATATGTGTTCGTGATAGCGCAGCTCCTGTTTGGATTGCTTCTGTTCGCCACGGTGCTCGGTCACGTAGCCAACATCGTCACCTCAGTCAGCACGGCCAGAAAAGAATTCCAGGGTAAGTTACCTACTATTGTTTTGGTCATTTTCAGATTTGTATTTATGAGCAAACAGCATACTTGTTTGCTTTTAGAAACAAAGTGGATTTTGTAGCTTAGCGGTTGTCTATGACCCGCAGTGATCACTTATTGTTCATCTACTAAACGGTAACTTTTAAAGAAAGAATATATGAGTAATAGATTCGTGTACAAAACGTTTCTTTGGCGATTTCGTTTCTATAAATAGTTCAACGTTCCTATGTACGAGTAAAACATGATCGTGTATGGCTGTTAAAAGTATAAATCTTATGTAGGAAAAAGGTCGCGTGACAGCGTCGGGTGAGGGTCGCAATACGCAGGCACTGTAGCGTGTCGCGGCTCTCACATTAGCGTGCTAAGCAGGCACACCGTCTGTACGTGCCACCACGTGGCGCCGCGTCATCATTACGTGCGCACTTCAAACAGCTCACACACGACTAACCACAAACGAGATTATCCTGATCAATCAATCACGACGGTTCTTCGCGAAGAATAAACACGAAAATAAAACTTTAGCCATAACTTTTAGCAATTTAATAATATGCTAAATAATTCGTTAAGGCGACTCAATCGGGTATTAACTATTAGCCAAGTCGAACGTGGATTTTAAATAGAACGAACGGCAAAGTGTCAACAACTTTAATTAGCGCTGCAACGCGGTTGTGGAGACAATGGCGCCGCGACGACAGAGAGCAGGCTGGATCCGTGACCTTCCTCGGCGGCGCTGCAGCGAAATAGGTCAGCGGCTTGAATGCTATAAATAGCTCGGCGAAAGTCGGGCGCCGCAACCCATCCCAACGGGAGTGCGCGTCCCGCGCGCGTCCGCCCGACATCGATCCGGTGTTGGTACCGCGCGCCCCATGCGCTCGTCGCTCCAGCCTACTATTCGACAATAATTGATCTGCCCGTCACCCGCCCGATGCTGCGAGCGTCGGCACGTCCCCGAGGCCCGCTACTCACAAAGGGACTCCGTCATTAACGTCACGATATTTCGTCGTCTCAAAATTAGCATATAGCATGACAATTTTCTTGTTCAAACAGAAAACTTAACTATCATTTTAAAACGTTTTTTTTTAACTTATTTTAATACAGTACACCTGCTTTACAAACCTTATTGGTAGGTACGTAGTAAGGAATTATTTAGTAACAAAATTATTTCTGTTTAGGTACTAAAATTCATTTCTTCAATGACATCTTAGAAAAAAAAATGTAAGGAGGAAAACTTAGTAAAATATTAACACATCAAATGATATCAAAGGAACTTGGAAACTAGTAACTATTAGCAACTCTTTTAGTACGATTTAAACAATGATTAATCTCATTTTTGTATTCTTTTCCTTATCTTCAATATATTGGCTACTGAAAGTTGGGTAATATAGTATTATATATAATCTGTTCTAAATATTGAATCAGGAATGAAAGCGTAATCTTAAAATCATGCAGAACTTATATGTACTACTAAATTACATTTGTACATACACAACTGTTAATTTACTAGTTAGTTATGCATTTACAGAGTACATAAGTTTTTTCAAGGGTCTCGGACCGTAGAAGCTTAATGAACGTTAATGATTATTGGTCGAGATGCCGGTAGGTTCGGAACGTTTTGTAAACAAGCGGCTTCGATCTCAGACTAACTACCTAGTTTATATTCAAATTGTTTGTGGTTCTCTGTCCTCCAACTCCGTCCCACTAAATCCACGATTGCATGTATATTACAATTTTAATGATGCGTGAAATCCAAAATCGTTTAACAAATAACAGTTTAACAAAAGTTGAACTCACTGGGAGTCGAAAGATCGCAAGTATTTAATTGACAAATATTATGACTATTATTATGTTCGTTAATTAAACTTTCAAGCTAACTGTATACCGCAAAGGGTGCTGAGCTTGGAAAGCTCATTGGTTTTCAGCAAAACGTTTTCTATACTTCTATACTAATATTATAAAGAGGAAAGATTTGTTTGTTTGTTTGTATTGAACAGGCTCCGAAACTACTGAACCGATTTAAAAAATTCTTTCACTGTTTGGAAGCTACACTATTGCCGAGTGACATAGGCTATAATCTCTTTTGAAAAAAATTTAGGATCCTTACTAAAAATCCAACAATGTAACCCAAGGTGTAAAAAAATTACCTAAAATATTCTTTACATCGCGTGCCCTGCGAAAACTAATGATGATAGAATAAAATAATGTACCTACTACGACTTTGTAGAACAAATTATTAATTACATAAAGTGTCGCGACAGCATATGTCTAACTATTATAGCTATGTCGCAATAAGTGTTCTTTTATTGTAAACAAATAAAACAACGTCAAATATCGTTGGAATTTTTGTTAAAGACCCGAGCGGAGCCGGAGCGGCCCGCTAGTCTATACTTCTATACTAATATTATAAAGAGGAAAGATTTGTTTGTTTGTTTGTTTCGAATAGGCTCCGAAACTACTGGACCGATTTGAAAAATTCTTTTTCCATTAGAAGCCGACATTGTCCCTGATGAACATAGGCTACTTTTTTTTATTTTTATTTTTTTTGTTTCATTTGTGTTTTAATGTCTCCGAAACGAAGCGAGGGCGGGTCGCTAGTGTTAAATAAATATGGTTAACTTTCCTTGTTTTGCCGAAAAGTGTTTTGTTTTGCTTGAACTAATGTACGGTATTATGTACGTGGCTTATTTCCTCTGGACTACGTCCCTGACTAACACACTGTCGACCGCACTTCGGCTGTCCTCTCGGTCACTGTTTGAAGAAGATTAAATTACTCCAGATGTCAGCGTACTAATGACAGCGTTCACGTTTTAGTCGAAAGTAAAGGGTAAATGTTCGTTTTGATGCTTCTATATATCGGTTCAAATTTTTTGTTTTAGTTTGTGTATTCAAAACATTTATTTTACTGGTGGTAGGACCTCTTGTGAGTCCGTACCACCAACCAACCTATTTCTGCCCTGAAGCAGTAATGCGTTTCGGCTTAAAAGGTGGGGTAGCCGTTGTAACTATACTGAGATCTTAGAACTTATATATCAAGGTGGGTCGCGCATTTACGTTGTAGATTTCTGTGGGCTCCAATAACAATAATGACGGAAACATCAATGAGAAATTTGCGGGAACGATTTGTACAATCTCTTTATAAAGTACAATTTACTTAGTCATCATCATCATCATCATCAGCCTTTATCTGCCCACTGCTGGACATAGGCCTTCCCCAATGCCTTCCACATAATGCGGTCCTCCGCCTTCCGCATCCGACCAACGACTTCCCGCCGTGCGCACTAAGTCGTCAGTCCACCTGGTTGGAGGACTCCCCACGCTCCTGGTACCCATCCGTGGCCTCCATTCGAGGACTTTCCTCCCCCACCTGGCATCGCTGGCTCGACAGATGTGACCGGCCCATTGCCACTTCAGCCTGCTAACTTTGAGAGCTATGTCGTCGACTTTGGTTCTCCGTCGAATTTTTTCGTTCCGGATTTTGTCACTTAGAGAAATACCGAGCATAGCTCTCTCCATCGCCCGCTTACTTAGTGATCGTACGTAATATTCTCATCGGTATGTTCAGGGATTTCTGCAGTCGATTATCCGATAGCTGACTATTAGTCGATATAATCCACTATAGTTTCAGCTACTTGTTACTTTGAACTACTTTGAAGTGATTAGATGCAGCACTTTGTTCTGAGCTCGGCTTCGTTCGTTTCCTTGTCGTGAGTTCACGTGTGGCGCTAAAATTAATTTAACTACTAAAGCTTGCGTGTAGCAAATCGTTAACGGAGGAAGCTAATTGCAAATTCATATCGTAAGAGCGGCTCAAACAAATACTTTGAGGATTCGGCGGTGACTCGACAGCGTGAAGTTGTTTGCGTTTGATGACTGGTTTGTGAATTTAAAAAAATGTTTATGTATTTCTTTTTATTGCCGTATAGGCAGACGAGCATACGGCCCGCCTGATGGTGAGTGGTTACCGTCGCTCATGGACGTCAGCAATGCCAGGGGCAGAGCCAAGCCGCTGCCCACCTTTTAATACTCTCCACAAGCCTCGTTTGAAGAAGGACATATCATAGCGCTCGGGAAACACCGTGGAGGGGAGCTCATTCCATAGCCGGATGGTACGTGGAAAAAAAGACCTCTAGAAACGCACTGTGGATGAACGTAGTGGCTCCAGGTAGTATGGATGAACTCTACTCCGGTGGCGGGCGGTGCGATGGTAAAAACGAGATGTCGGTATAATCTCGAATAATTCCTCAGAGCACTTGTTTTTTTTTTTTTTTATTGCTTAGATGGGTGGACGATCTCACAGCCTACCTGGTGTTAAGTGGTTACTGGAGCCCATAGACATCCACAACGTAAGTGCGCCACCCACCTTAAGATATAAGTTCTAAGGTCTCAAGTATAGTTATGTAATGTTAAATTATTTTTTTGTGCGTCTGTAATGTGTATAGTTCACGGAGTGTTTTTTTGTTCTCTTTCTATTTCTGTTTCTTATAGAAAAATAGATGGTAGTTAGTTAGCACAGTATTCGAATGTCGAGAAAAATTGGATCTTAGTCGTCCTTTACCACGAAAACTGTCGACGTCGAAACGTCAGAAATAATATTGTGAAAATAATAAAGAGATTAAGTCGTAAAGTAGTTTTTAATTGTATTTTTTTTTATTGCTTAGATGGGTGGACAAGCACACAGCCCACCAGGTGTTAAATGGTTACTGGAGCCCATAGACATCTACAACGTAAATGCGCCACCCACCTTGAGATATCAGTTCAAAAGTCTCAGTATAGTTACAACGGCTGCCCTACCCTTCAAACCGAAACGCATTAATGCTTCACGGCAGAAAATAGGCAGGGCGGTGGTACCTACCCGCGCGGACTCACAAGAGGTCCTATTAGGATATTTTTTTTAAATTACGAACATCGGTATTATGCTTTCGGCGTTCACGTATGCGATATGATTTATCATAACATTTAAATGCACAGCACAGACTCGGGTGCTTAGGATATCGATAGAAACCTTATATCATTCCGAGTGATACTGACTCATTGTATTGAAAAGTATAACAGTTTGACATTAAAATAACATTGTTACTTTTGCTGATAGTACTATATCAACTAAAACAATTATGCATATTATTATCAGTTCAAAACTTTGATTTTGAAATGTTATTGAAAGTCCGTCTGTCCTACGCCATCCTACAGACTCTACATCTAATATAAATTAACTGTTTAAAATAGTAAACATTAGACTCTTTATCTTCTCCATTTACGACTCATTTATATCGAAGTTAAATTCGAAAAAGTTATTTCCGCCGTGAAGCAGTAATGCGTTTCGGTTCGAAGGGTGGGGTAGCCGTTGTAACTATACTGAGATCTTAGAATGTATATCTCGAGGTGGGTGGCGCATTTACGTTGTAGATGTCTATGGGCCCCAGTAACCACTTAATACCAGGTGGCCTGTGAGCTCGTCCATCCATCTAAGCAATAAAAAAAGTGTTTTTTTTTTAAATTGTATCCACCTAAAAATAAGTGTCATCAAAAAAATCTTTAAAGAAACTCTTCCGTTTGTGAAAAAGTCTCCTCTCTAATTACAACAGACGTGCTCGGCTTAATAAACTGTTTTTTTAAAAGAATATTAAATGAAGAATTTGTGAGATGTTCAGATTTCTCGGAAAGGTTGAATGGATATTGTAATTAATTCCTTATAAAAATGTAAAACTTGAAACAATTATAGCGGAGTGATGACAGGCGGAATAAAGTACTTTATTAATTTATTTAATATGTATGAATGTTATGACAAGTATATGAGTCACTTTGTGCTATACTAGGGAATAAAACACCTGTGAGAAACTGGCAGAATCTAATACATCACCTTCGACTGTTCGCTTTATCATAAATTCAAACCCGTGACATTCGCCGGGTGGACGAATAAGGTTGTGAAATGTAACGAAATTTGAAAATTGGAATTTGATAGATGAGAAGAGAAGGGGTTCAAAAGATAATAGATTGGACTGTACTTGTACTGTTGAGGATATTTTTCTTATAATTTCTTGTACGAAATCGTTTTTGCGCACTCACAAGAAACTTCATACGTGCGTTATAGATTTACGGTCTACACTGACTAATCTATATACTTAGTCTGGCCATAAATACTGTTACAATTAAAAATAAACAAAATATTACATTTGAATTTGGAATCTGTCATTTTTATATGATTGCTCATTGAGTTTTCTCATTTTGGCGCCAATAAGTACATTGTACAATATTTTGCGATATTAAAATGGAGTGGGGTGATAAAGAGAACCGAATCGCTGTGATTGAATTACACAAAGTAGGTATGGAGCCAAATGCAATTTTTAAAACTCTCCATACGCTTGGTATTAGTAAAATGTTTGTGTACCGGGCTTTTAATAGGTGCAATGAGATCTCCTCTGTTTGTGACAGAAAAAGATCTGGCCGTCCACGTAGTCTTCGTACGAAAAAGGTGGTCAAAGCAGTAAAGGAAAGAATTCGAAGAAATCCTGTCCGAAAGCAAAAAAATTTATCTCGGGAGATGAAGATAGCACCTAGAACCATGTCGCGTATTTTAAAAGATGACTTAGGACTTGCAGCCTATAAGAGACGTACTGGTCATTTCTTAACTGATAATTTAAAAGAGAATAGGGTGGTAAAATCGAAACAACTACTGAAGCGGTATGCAAAGGGAGGTCATAGAAAATTTTTGTTTATGAATGAGAATTTTTTTACAATTGAGCTACATTTTAACAAACAAAATGACCATATTTATGCTCAAAGCTCTAAGGAAGCTTCCCAATTAGTCGACAGAGTGAAACGTGGGCACTACCCGACTTCAGTGATGGTTTTGTGGGGTATAAGCTATGAAGGAGTGACTGGGCCATACTTTTGTGAAAAAGGTATCAAGACATCGGCACAAGTGTATCAAGATACCATTCTTGAGAAGGTAGTGAAGCCCCTTAACAACACCATGTTCAATAATCAAGAATGGTCCTTCCAGCAAGACTCGGCGCCAGGTCATAAAGCTCGGTCTACGCAGTCTTGGTTGGAAACGAACGTTTCGGACTTCATCAGAGCTGAAGACTGGTCATCGTCTAGTCCCGATCTTAATCCGCTGGATTATGATTTATGGTCAGTTTTAGATAGTACGGCTTGCTCTAAACGCCATGATAGTTTGGAGTCCCTAAAATAATCCGTACGGTTGGCAGTGAAAAATTTTTCCATGGAAAGAGTGCGTGCTTCTATTGATAACTGGCCTCAATGTTTAAAGGACTGTATTGCAGCCAATGGAGACCACTTCGAATAAGCTTTTTATAATTTAAATTGTTTTATATTTATGTATTAAACTAACACACTGTAAAAGTAATAAATGTTATTTGCCATAGTTTTTTTTTTGTTTTCCTTTGTAACAGTATTTATGGCCAGACTAAGTATATGTAAAAATGAATTGCTGTTCGTTAGTCTCGCTAAAACTCGAGAACGGCTGGACCGATTTGGCTGATTTTGGTCTTGAATTATTCGTGGAAGTCCAGAGAAGGTTCCAAAGATAGATAAATATTAAAATCCTTGGAATTAAATAAAAATAACAATTTTGTTTTTCCTTTGATGTGTCCCCCGTCGGACGGATTCGGATTCCTTTTGTTTGTTTTAAGTTTATTTTATACAAAAATTTAAGTATTTTATTTATCGATAGAGGCACTACGAAGTTTGCCGGGTCAGTTAGTATGTAATAAAAATGTTTCTGTATTAAAATCTTTCCACGCCTAGTTTATTAGATCGAGTTTAAGCTTCGTACAATTTTTATTTTATTTTTCTTTATTGCTTAGATGCGTGGACGAGCTCACAGCCCACTTGGTGTTAAGTGGTTACTGGAGCCCATAGACATCCACAACGTAAATGTGCCACCCACCTTGAGATATAAGTTCTAAGGTCTCAGTATAGTTACAATGGCTGTCCCACCCTTCAAACCGAAATGCATTACTGCTTCACGGCAGAAATAGGCGGGGCGGTGGTACCTACCCGCGCGGACTCATAAGAGGTTATACCATCAGTGAAATGTCAGTCTGAAATAATAATTCAAGCTGTTGAATACTTATGTATAGCAACCAATATTGTGTTTAGCTAAACTGGATGGGGTGAAGACCTACATGCGCATGAGGAGAGTACCAACGCATCTGCAAGTGAAGGTGATCAAATGGTTCGACTATCTCTGGCTCACCCAGAAGTGTTCTGACGAGGAGAAAGCGGTTTCGTGTCTACCGGACAAGCTAAAGGCGGAGATAGCTATCAACGTACATCTAGATACCCTGAAAAGGTGAATTACTTTAATTTATGATCCCCAGCGAAATGGTCTTTGTTAAAGAACTATAAAACACGGGTAGGTTCTTCTGTGGGTTAATTTATTTGCGGAATAGCCGGACCAGGATCCTTACAATGTTTACGGTTTAATCTCTTCGGTATTGTGAAAACTAGCCAAGCAAATACAGTCTATCCGTTACATACACATAGCGGTTATCAAAAGAAAACGCTCGTGTTGAATACAAGTAATGAACCATTAAAACATTTTTTAGTATGTTATTCTAGAAACTTTATTGAATTCAAATTTTAAACAAAAGTTTCTAGAATGTCAACAACATTGATAGTCGTTATAAATGATCTCAAATGCGCAAACTTTATGAAATAGATGTCAGAGATTGCAGAGGCAGTAAGTACATCTTGTTAGGAACTGTTGTTGTTGTTAACGTCTCGAACTAAAAGTTTATGTTATAGACAAGTGAAGCAACTTTCCCTGGGACGAAGACAAAGGGTTGTAGATACACCGACGATAATGAAACCGTCGCCAGATCAAATAAATTAGTCGAGGCACTCAATGGCCCAGCTTTTAATTGAATTTAGTTTAGTTTTAGTTGAAACTTGGTGTTGTTCTGTTTCCTGTTAAGATTGACTGCAAGCTGATTGTCTGTTTGGGATTGTACGAAAAAAAATTTTTTGAGTTTTTCCACGTCTAACTAATATACATGCTATGTACATTAATTTTACACGTAATTTCTTATAAAGCTTACAATAATTACACGTAAAAATGAGCCCAATGAAATGCTGCAAACAGCAAACGTTGACATTTCATGTTGTCTTCAATATTCAGAATTCTACGTAATTCAAATTAATGCGACGCAGCAGTTTATGCTTAATATCCCGTGTTGTATAATTAAAAAAGAGAAACATCCGCTTTTTATGGCCATGAATTATGCATAAGTATTCATTTATATCATCCGTAAATTTACGTCGTCAAATGGATATTCTGAGCGGCTTTGTTTTCAAAAAGATCCAGTATAATAAGCAATAGCATCGGAGTCATATACAAATACATAATATACATATCGACGCTTGAAAGGCAAACGTGACTAAGCGACAATAACTGCTTTGTACATAATTGATAGGCAATGACCATATTCGATGCGCAAAAAAGATATATTTCTAGGTCTATTAAAATCATTTCAATCCTACAGATAGATTCGTTAAAATAGTTTTTTTTTTCAGGTATTTCAACTTTAAATTAGTCTACTGTAAAGTTCACGCATTGTCGCTTAGTCACGTTTGCCTTTCAAGCGTCGATATGTATATAAATACAATCGGGCTGTGCACTTTTATTGTCATCAATGAATCCAAATGTTTACATATTTGTATTTTTTTTGACATGTTTAATTTTCGTCTAGGGTCGAAATATTTCAAAATACGGAGGCGGGGTTTTTATGCGAGCTAGTGCTGAGGCTTCGACCGGTACTATTCTCTCCCGGTGACTACATCTGTAGAAAAGGTTAGTCGCTTAGTTTTTTCATTGCCTGGTCTTTTTTCAGACGTCTCAGACTTTCTGTTTCTGTTTTGTAGGTGAAGTCGGCAAGGAGATGTACATAGTGAATCGAGGGAAACTGCAGGTCGTAGGCGACAACGGCAAGACCGTGCTGGCAACACTTAAGGCGGGTTCTTATTTTGGCGAAATTTCCATTCTGAACATGGGCACGGCAGGTAAACAACTTGGTAAATATCGCCACGGCCCGAGACGCCACGCCATTATTCTCCTATTATGTTACGTGTCGAAATGTACTGAAAGCAAACGTTTCGAGGAGACGCTGCAATCAGGTCGAGGGAGCGGCCGCACCGCCAACAGGTTTTGAGACATCGGTACCGAATGCGTTCGTTATCGCTATTGCATAAACAACAATCAGAATTGCTAAATCCTCTATTACAAATATTATTAATAAACCAGTGACTACTGTACCTAATAATAGCGTTAACGGGCTCGTGTCGTTCCTTTTGAATTATTAGTGAATGCTTTGTAAAATATGTATATATATGTTAATTTAATAAAACGTAATAAGTATTTACGCTTATATAGATTATAATTTCAATTATTTTATATTCTTTTTAATTTTTTTTTTCATATTGGTACTTCAATCGAAGAAATATTGTATGGTGAGCTTTTACTGATTTAAATTGAGTTTACCGCAGTTTGTGGCTTCCAACAAGATTCGTGTAGATATCTTGTGACATGTATTGTTTTGCCTATGATTATCTCCTTTGGTTGTATTGAAGGCAGTGTCCCCGATTGCTTTGCATCCTCCCAGATACCTTATATATTTGGCGTGACCTCTTGGTGCATGTTACCCTTAATTTTTAAGTGCCATCTACCATTTGAGAATCCGAGTTTTGATCTATTGTTATACGGAGTTTATTTCATCTGACTTTAACATCTTACGCATTTTACAATCGTAGAAGCTTAGTTCTTTACGGTTAATTACTGTCTACTGATTTTATCGATAGCGACATTTCTACCTTAAGCTTTGTATTTGTCTTGGGGCACAGGTGACAACCAATTAGTCGCTTGCTGGTTGATTTACGATCAGTTTTATTTCCGATATGAACGCGATGGCTCCGGACCCACCCTGCATAAGTTTGTTAAGGTAGTTTAAATTAATTTCCTAAAGGCTTTATTAAACGAATTAGTTCCTCGTTACTTCTGTGATTCTGGAATGTTTGTACCCTGCTCGGTGCGTCGGCTTTGTTACAATACACCTATGGTCTGTTTTGGCGTTTGATTAAATCAGCGGTCGGGGAACTTTTTTAATTATTACCCCAAAATATTTTTGTGCAAGTTGATAATTACCCCATGGCGAACAACAAAAAACAAAACCAAATCGCTTCATTTTAGCATCTTTCATATTATAGCCCCCATGATAATTTGAAATCACAACGATTCTAAAGAAGTTTCAATTCAATGTATACTTTTTACTCACAAAAGTTTCATTTTTACCCCCCAAAATTTCATTTTACCCCATTTGGGGTAATTTACCCCGGTTCCCCAACCGCTGGATTAAATCGAGAGCGGGTAAGGGAGTACCTAAGTCAGAGTTGGCCGTAAGTGTATTAGCCGGGCACCATTCGGCACGGAGTTTGTGGATGACACGTCGACAGGCAACCGTCGGACAGCATCGGTGCGCTCCGTCGGCTACTCGGACCTGTTCGTACTTAGCAAGAAGGACATGTGGGACGTGCTCAAGGAGTATCCCGCAGCGAGAGTGCGCCTCGAGGCCATCGCCGTCAAGAGACTCGAGAAATACAAAAAAGCACCACTCGAAAAAGGTATGTGTTATACTTACGATTAAGAACAGTCTTTAGTTTGTAAGAAGCAATGATTGCAACCACTATTTGTATACAACATTGTTATCTAAAATTAGGTACTCTCATCTTGTTTGAGATCTAATAATTTATTGCAAGAAGGTTATAGATTTCTCGAAAATCTCACAATTTAATTTTGTTTGCCTTTTACATTACAATTTTTAAGAAATAAAATAGTTAGCTGTCTCCTGTAAAGATGTTTTCAAATTTTAGAAACAATCATGCTTAGCTTTAGTTATGAATGTCCTTTTGAAGATTACTGCCATTGAAATAAGCAAAGACCGCGTTCTAACTCCATATCCCCACGTAATATTATTTGAAAAAAATGACACGACTAAGTAAAACAGTAAGCCTGTTCTTACACATCGAAGCGAAAGAGATTCGGTCACTGACGTTTCGTCATGTTGTTGTAGTGGCAATGGGTCGGTGCCAGTCGACGCCCGGACTCGTGGAGACGAGCGGGCGCATACCCATCGAGGAGATGCAGCTTCCGGCCGCACCGCTGCCGCCGCCTCTGCACTCCTCACACCCGCCTTCTTATCGGGACCAGCTTTATAGGTGATAATACGCCTTGACATTATACTCATTCGAATTATTAAAACGATTCGTTGTATTTTAATTGACATAATAACGTGTCGGTGGGCTTCAAAATAATTGAAGCTTTCGAATATCGTCCAGTGCTTCTTCTTTTGTTTTATTCGCTGTATTTCGTAATGTAATGTTTCAGTTATAGGCACTTTTTACTGGTGATAGGACCTTTAGTGAGTCTGCGCGGGTAGGTACCACCACCCTGCTTATTTCTGCCGTGAAGCAGTAATGCGTTTCGGTTTGAAGGGTGGGGCAGACGTTGTAACTATACTGAGACCTTAGAACTTATATCTGTGGGCTCCAGTAACCACTTAACACCAGGTGGGCTGTGAGCTCGTCCATCCATCTAAGAAATAAAAAAAGGTACTTATTTGCTATGAAAAAAATTTATTGAATTATTTTTTTGGCAGTTCGTCAGTAAGTCCTCTTCGTGTAGCATCCCCGGTGGCGTCGTGTGCGTCAAGCGCTCGTAGTAGCGCGGCGGGGGGTGGAGGTGGGGGTGCGGGAGGGGGTGCTCCCCGCGCATTCATCGACTCTCATGAGGTGCTCGAGAGTGAGATTAAGCGGCTGCGCGAGCGACTCTACACTGTCGAAACCGAAAATGCCGCAATGTCCGCGAAGCTGAGCCAGCAGCAGTGGGAAGTTGACCAAAGGTGACATGCTGTACCATCATAGTTAATTTAATTTTTTTATTGCCCTTAAAAACTATGTTAAATACAAAAAAAGAATAGGCCGGTTTCGATAAAATTGAACTCCGCCATTTGATTTTAAAAAATAATCACCCTCGCACAATATTAAAAAAACTTTTAACTATCCCACCGATAGACTATGATTACAATTCATATTATCTTTACATATTTAAGTTTGAATGCGAAATAAGTTGCGTAAGAAAAAAGTAACAGTGTAGTTACAATTGTTGAGTCTACGATCGATTTGGATTGTTACTGTAACGGCGATGTATAAAATATCCTTTCTTTTAATTTTAGAGTTTCAGAGTTTTTATTTTCATTATAAGGGAAAACCACTTCTTCGTGGAACAGCACAGGATGTGTCTCTTCTGAAACCAGTAATTTGTATGCATTTGTTGGGGAAAAAATAATACTGTGGTGTAGTTTTAGTTTTTATTGAAACCTTTCTCATGGCTAATGATCAAAAACATTCGCTACTCCACGTGGTTTCAGACAATTGAGATAATTCCATAGTCTTTAAAATTAGTTAATAACAGATAAAAGGGTAAAAAATGCACTTCAACAACAAAACAAAACTAAAATTGCTATTTTTAGTTTTCGTGATGCTTTTTTACAAATTTTCATGTTAATTCGGCGTTTTAATACTGGTTGAGATTGCATCGAAAGATTTCGATAGTTAAATCCATACAGGTCAAGCTAAGAATAAAAACGCGTTAAAGATCACCCAACGTAATCATTTCACTAGAAAACTGTGTGATCATGTAGAAAAAACGTAGTACATCACTTTTATATAAACCGCTTCTATCAATTTCCTCTTTCATCCATTTGGATATGCTTTATGTTAAGTAGTTATCTTAGCCCATAGATATCCCAAGGTGGATATCGCCACCCACTTAGAGACATATGGTCGAAGTTTCAATTACATCGTCACAGCCATTGTACGTTTGAAACCATATCTGTATTTTGTAATAGAACGTTTCCGGGCCGTTGGGAACTTTAAACATTCAATAATCATTCAGAATTAGTGGTCTCCTATACGATAGGTTGCAAGAAATAGAGATGCAGATCTGCGGCGGGAGCTCGCTGAGCTCTCAGGAGGAGAACGAGAGGAACCGGGAGAGCATTATTTAACAGCGCGCCTCCGCCGAGCGAGGGATGCCGCCCCCCGCACTCCGCCTGTCCGCCGTCTACTGACAAGCGTCTACATATTCACACATGGGAAGTTTCAATACGAATTAACTTTATCAAATTTATATATACCTAGTATATACGACTCGCTGGTATTTGACGAGCGTCGTGGAGTGAGATTTTGTCGAGACAATATTATTATTATTATTATTATCTTAAATCGTTAGGTACGTCGAAGTGTTCTAGAGTGCGCGAGTGAGTTCGGGCGGCGCCACGTCTCAGGCCGTACTGTTTACACTCAATGTTCATCGGTTACGTTGTCCTAAAGGATGCTATTGTGTTTCCTTGGCGGAATGTAATGATGCGTTGTTTATAGATTGAATAATAATACATTGGGATCGTTGTAAATGTCGATAGATACGTTTTGGAATGTTAATTATACGTTTTGTTTTCGCTGACGGTTCGTAAATACGTCGTTACTATGTTTTCATGGTGAGTTTGAACAAATTGTGTACAAACGTTTGTCGTATACCCCGTTGTATTTGATCCGGCACTGAGTGCCAAATGATAACGAGTGTTCGAATAAGATTTTCTTTAACACATAGAAAACGAATGGATATTTTCTTATCCATAAATTTGAGCTTTAATTATTATAATATCCCGGAAGACTTGTAACATAATTATATGTCACCCTCATCTCTTTATATTATGTTTACATACAAAAAATACTAAGTTTTTTACAGTCTAGGGAATTAATTTTTTTGACACCATTTTGTTTCCGTTTTTATTCCTGTGGATGTTTATTACGACGAATATGGAACAATTTTGAACAAAGAAAAGATGTAAAATCGAAAATAATATAAATAATGTAATTTGTTACATATTTAATATTGATTATAAACATATTGTATTTTAAGGAGACGTAGCCAAAACTGGTTATTACGTCATTTTGGTAATTATAAAGATCACTACTGCCAAATAAGATTTAAGTAGGTAAAAATGGTTTGGATGTAAAATAATTAAACGATGATCAAATGTAAAACAGTTTTGTACTTGCATTCGTAATTACAAGTAATTTAATTTCGTGGCTTACGAATTTCAATATATTTTTTTGTGTAAAACGTTTTTCATTTGATACGTTTTTAGTATATAAAAAAACTGTACCAAAAAATGTGAAAATTAAAATAAATTAATAATTCAACTCTAAATAAATTGTAAATACTTATTATAGTATATATGTATGTATGATGCGTGTTTTTAAGCTGTTTTCACAAGACTACAGTTGTTGTTTTGAGAAGGAAATCTATGAAGGCTAAGCAGGACGGGAGCGAGCGTCGGTGAGTCCTCATTTGTTTTAAAAATCAAGACCAGCAGTTTATATACAAGTTGTACAATAAACACGAAATGTATAAAATAAGGAGAATATATATATATATGATAATTATTATTAAAATAGGATGATTTGTTATAGCTTTGATTTAAATTGCAGTTTTAGAATTTTAATCTCAATTTTATGAATATTGTTTTGTACTTAATCATATAATATTATAATGGAAACATGTGCCAAAATATGCATGCCAATTTAATTTTTGTATTTGTATGTATTTTTATCAATGAATTTAAACAGAGAAGCGTTTTTTATGATGCGTAGTTCGCGTCATTTGTGAGATATTCAAACTTTAGTTTGTTAAACCACCGATTTATTTACCGGTTAGTTTTTACAATAGATCAATACCATATTCATGATTAAATTTATACCGAGAGCATGTTCGGTTTCCATCAACAAACTTTTTTGCCTCACAATACATTCTTGAAACAACAGAAATAAATATGTGTCGATTCTTTATGTTTCAGAGATAAATAGATAGGCGATAAAAATTTGAACTGTAAATAAAATATTTATTTATTGTTATTTATTATATTCAATAAAATTTTCTTCTTACATATTTCACGATTATAAATGGTAAGAGAGATGCATGATGCGTTTTAAATAATGTTTAATGAAAAACGCAAGCGCTTTTATTGTAATCAGTAGATTTATAATTCTTCCGGAAACACACACCGATATGAGAATGAAAATGTACAATACTTAGAAAATTTAAAGTTTTATAATTGCGTAAATTAATTGTTAAGTGATTGTTATTTACATTAATTGGGTTTTACTTAACATAACACGTATCAAATTCAAAGTGAATTGATTAAAATGAATGTTACGAAATATTATAACCCGTAAATACTTTTGTTGCAATCCACTGTAACTTTTCATTCTCACGGTTAACAAGAGCTCAGTACAATTGAGCGCAACGGACTGCAATTGATTTCGTAACATTATAATAAGTAACATTTCTTTGACTTACGAGAGGGAAGCAGAGGGAAGTTGTTCACGAATGATCGGAGCGAATCTGTAGTTTTGCAGTACCCGGCTTGTGCATCTTTAAATCGGGAGTTTAATTATGTACCTATCGCACATGATTAATTTTATTGTTAATAAAAAGGTCATGATAATATGAACTGATGTTTTTATTATATAACTAGCTGACCCGGCAGACTTCGTAGTGCCTCAATCGATAAATAAAAGACCTATACTTCATTTAATTCCGAGAATTTTCTTATTTTTCTAACTTTTAAACCTTCTCTGGATTTCGACAAATAATTCAAGACCAAAATTAGCCAAACCGGTCGAGCCGTTCTCGAGTTTTAGCGAGACTAACGAACAGCAATTCATTTTTATATATATAGATATAGATTTGTTTCGTGGACCCCTTTTAAGAAGCATATCTCTCCACTACAGTAGATTGGCCATCAATAAAGGAAACTTGTCTTTGTATGTCATCAAGAAAGAAACAGCTGCTCTTCGCTAGCGATTCCTCATACTTATTCATGACTTTCTCGTCTTTTGCCTTAAGTCAACTACTAGTAGAATGAAATGGGATCTCAACATAAATCAAAGAAACGTGATAAGAGGACACAGTAACTATTTAACAAACAAAAAAATATGCATATGATACTACGAGTATATTACAAATAAATTAATATAAATACATAATATATACAATTATTTCTGAAATGAACAACAGAATAATCTCTGGTAGTGATTACGCGAAGCCATTATAAATTGATTGAATTTGAATGAAAAAAGATGGAAATGAAATTGTATACTGTCGTGAATAGCATAATGCAGTAAGCTTTATAGATTTCCAACAGTAATTAATATAGCTCTTTATTATAAAGAGAAAATGTGATTAAAGTTAAAATGCTTGGATAGTTCGTGGGTAATTAGTGGTGGCTATATTGTCAATTATTATCACGCTTTGTATCACGGTTATTATCACGGTAGCGAGCCGTTCGCTAATAAAATTTTAACTTTGCCCTCGTGTCTTAAAATAGGCAGCGGCATTTAAGTTGTGATGCTTATGGATCCCGGTAACCACTTAGCCTCGGGTTGCGCGAGAACTTTCATTTAAAAAAGTATTTGTAATAAAAATCAGACTTATGACTTACATTTAAATTTCATATTATTATACCGTAATATGCGATGTTGTTCAATGACAGTATTAAGTCGCGTGCGGCTAATTTTGGCGAATACGGGTGTGCGCCCCAGGTCACCTCAATCTACCACTACTGTCTGCTACTATAACTTGTCCATAATAATAGTGTCCTAGCCTATTACATTACTGAACCCTCCGACAAATACCCATCGTGATTAGCGAATTCCATGCATTCCATTCGAGTAGGACATAAGCCAATATCCTCCTCCTCCTCGCGTCGTTTCCTCACTGACCATTATATTTCGACATGACTTTACCCCTTGTGATGTCCCGCCAGCGCCTCCGATCATTGGCCGCAAGAAGCCAATATAGTCACATTAAAACGTTGTTTTATAGAAAACGTCATTTACTTGTTCTATGAATAACGTAGCTCTTTTTTTTATAGCTTAGGTGGATGGATGCGTTCACAGCTCACCTAGCGTTAAGTGGTTATTGGAGCCCATATACATCTGCAACGTAAATGCCGCCACCCACCTTGAGATATGAGTTTTAAGGTCTCAGTATAGTTATATACAACGGCTGCCCCACCCTTCAAACCGAAATGCATTACTGCTTCACGGCAGAAATAGAATACACAGATAGACTGGTATTCGAATATAGTGTGTTACAACCGGGCGAGATACATTCATAGAAATGGAACACTCTTGAGAGAGCGCCTACTTTGTAAGGTTACCGGGACACCGTATCTTACTTAATATTTTATTTTACTCTGACGCACAAGCAGCTTCGCGGTCGGGTTTCTGCTTTGATGCTCCAATTTTATTTATGCAGTTTATTTTACTTCGTGAATCCGTTAATAACAATGTACACCGCGGTACCTCTCTGCTGAATTAGCACTTTTGGTCAATGGCTTTTCGCATTCAGTTTAGTAGGTATTTAAAAAATTTTACTTTCTAGTTACTCTGTTCATACAATGAGAAGTGAAAATAAACAGTGGAAATTCTCGATTGAATAAAACGGAAAAAATAATGTTTATTTGCATTCAATTTACATAGTTCCATTATTTTTTTGCCATTGTCAACCGTCAATCATACCACACATGATGATAAGTAGGCACTATTGCACATGGACATTAACAGTGACAGTAGCACAGACAATCCACTACCTAAAATGGTGTTAAAAATGTCTGATGAAACAGGAGCAGTTCCTTTGACAATAATTAATGACGACTGTGCGGTAATTCCACAAATTGGTTTTGTGCAATGCTATCAAGTAGTTATCGAGAAATATGTACTTCGATTTAAAGAAATTTAATTTGCCTGCGTACTTTTCAAATGGGAGCGCTGCGGTTGCATCTCGTACGTTTTTAGATTTTTTCAGTTAAAGTTTTTAATTCGTATTTTATGGTTAGTAAATTTTTTTGCTTCAAATTATACTTTATCGCAGTACTTGCTCTGAGTACCACAATAAAATGAGTTAGAATGAAAGCAGCTGTATAAATATAGATTCAAGAAACAATACCGTCTACATTTTTATTTTTACCCTTTGAACTGCATAAAGGTCAAAGGTTTTTACTGGTGGTAGGACCTCTTGTGAGTCCACGCGGGTGGGTACCACCACCCTGCCTATTTCTGCCGTGAAGCAGTAATGCGTTTCGGTTTGAAGGGTGGGGCAGCCGTTGTAACTATACTTGAGACCTTAGAACTTATATCTCAAGGTGGGTGGCGCATTTACGTTGTAGATGTCTATGGGCTCCAGTAACCACTTAACACCAGGTGGGCTGTGAGCTTGTCATCCCATCTAAGCAATAAAAAAAAATAAAAAAAGTCAGATTTTGACCAGAAGAATGAAGACGAAAAAAAAAAATCTAATTCCGAACTCGTTTGCAAAGCCATCAATATTATTCGGTACACAATAAAAACCGGGTCCCGAAGCCGTCAGACGTGGGTCGAGTCTCCAAGGAGGCGCATCCACAAGTTCCGATGATCCAATTACAGGCCATTGAACGTGATTACACCCCAATCTTGTTTGTTCCTTCAACACCTTACGTGTTACGAG